CCACCAGCGGACAAAGGCGCTTCCTGGCGCCCGCACTAACCGTCCGTTGGGCTTTTGAATCCGGCCCCGGGGCTGACCTTTCTACATGCCCGACCCAAAGGCTTCGGCGCTCCCGCTCCCCCCGCCATCCCACTCGCTCCCCTCCCTCCTGTGCTGGGCAGCCCCCCACCCCGGATCCATCCTCACTCGGTCAAGCCTCCAGGAGCTTGCGGCCTTGGGGCAGGGCACCTGGCCCCCAATACGCTAGGGGACACCTCCCTGAGGAGAATGGGGGTGGGGGGACACCTGCGACACAAGCGACGCGGGTGCCCCCAGCCTCTTTCGCGCCATCCCGCTGGCCAAGCCCACTCCTGGAAGTTCTAGGAGACGCGAGCTCCCTTTCTGTAGTCAGTCCGCTTCAGCCACTTCCCCCCGCGGGCCAAACGCCGGCAGCTCAGCGGCGCACTCACCATGCTGCAAGCGCTACCGGTCTCCGAGACGCGACCACACAACCACTCGCCTCGCTCGCTGCACTCGGACTAATTCTCCTCCTCCGCCCCCAGCGCCTCATAAACACCTCCCTCCGCCAGATCCCTCCGCCGCAGGCCAGATAACGGAACATCACAAACGAGTCCCGGCCACACACACCCTACCCCCCTCCGCAAACTGTTCTCGAGACCCCTGGCCCATTCGCAGTTACTTTGTGGACGATGCAAGGGGTAAGGCGATGTGGACAAACGGATGACGTAAGTGGGTCTCATTCCCCGGTGAGCCGTTAAAAATGCCTGTGGAGAGGCGCTTGAGGGGCGCTACTTCGCGGCGCGGAGGAGCACCGTCGCAGTGACGCGCCCCGATAGTCGTTGAGCCGGCCCCTGATTGGTTGGTTTGTACCTGCAATGCGTCACTCGGCTCGCAGCGGCCGCCGCGGGGACGCGGTGCGGCTTCTACCGTTGCTGCTCCGGCCGCGCTGTCCTGGCAACTGCGCCGGGCGGCGGAGCCTGCCTCCCGCACCCCATCTCCGCCACGCTCGCACGCGCGGCTTGCCGCTCCTTGTGCAGGGGAGAGCGCCTTACGCCGATGCCGAACGAAGCTGAAGGACCGCGGGAAACCCGCGCCCCGCTCAGCGTCTCAGCCTCGCGGAGGCCACGCATTTTACATTTCGCTCCCCCGCGAAACCCGTGAAAATCTGGCTGAGGGCAAATGCAGCTGCTCAGCTGACTAGTCTGAAAAGGTCTTCCGTGTGTACTGCCCCTTCGCCTTCCTTGCCTGGGGTAATTTACCGGAAAAAAGTTGAAACCCGCAGCGTCCGAGGCTGTGGGGTTAGCCGCTCCCAGTGGCCGCTGACACTGGAATAACCGCGTTCTGGCTCGGAGTCGGGCCTGGCGGTGGGTTTGATTGGGCCCCTTCCTTAGGTGCATGACCTTGGATGAGTCATTTCATATTTAGCCTCATTTGTAAAATGGACGCAATAACACCTATCTCAAAAAATTACTGTGAGAATTAGGATTATATAAAGATTAATGTAAAATGTCGAAGCGCCTGGCACAGGGTAGGCACCGAACAAGTGGCCACTATGATAGACCTCCTCCTCAAAATGAGTCTGTTCTTTTGGGTCCCTAATCTCTCAGATTGGGATGGACATTTAAAAAACTATTTAAAAGTTGGCCTCTTGGAACTGGAAGCCTTGTTTGTGCACTGTTGGTGGAAGTGTAAAATGGTTCAGCCACTGTGGAAAACACCATGGTAGTCCCTTTAAAAATTAAAAAAGCGCCGGGCGGGCATGTCTCAGCCTTGAGCATGGACCTGGGATCCAGGAGTTTGGGGGTCAGTTCCCGTCAGGGCACTGCCCAGGTTGGGGGCTCCATCCCCAGGCAGGGCCTGCAGGAGGCAGCCGGTCAGTCACTCCCTCGTCACTGATGTTTCTCGCTCTCTCTCCCTCTCCCTTGCCCTCTCTGAAATCAATAAAGATATAGTAAAAAAAAAAAAATTACTACGTTGATCCAGCGATTCCACTTAGAGGCAAATACCCAAAAGAAGTGAAAGCAGAATCTTGAAGAGATATTGGTACATTTATATTTATTAGCAGCATTATTCAGGAAAGCTAAAATGTGGAAGCAACCCAATTTCCATCACTGGATAAATGGATAGGGAAAATATGGTTACAGCAGAATATTATTTAGTCTTAAAAATGGAGGAAATTTTACGATATGCTACAATATGGATATTATGCTAAGTGAAATAAGCCAGTTACAAAAAGAACAAATACTGTATGATTCCACTTACATGAGGTACTTAGAATCGTCAAAATCATAGAGACAAAAAGTAGAATGGTGATTGCCAGGGGCTGGGGCTAGAGGGAATGGGGAGTCATTGTTTAACGGGTATATAGAGTTTCAGTTTTACAAAATATAAAGAGTTATGGGATGAATGGTGGTGATGGTTACACAACATTGTGAATGTATTTAATGTCATCAAAGTGTATACTTAAGAATGGTTAGGCTGGTAAATTTTGTGTGTATTTTATTATACATATTTTCTAAATAAGCTCCTTGGTCCCACCCAAAATAAGCAAGGGTGTCCATAACCCGGAATGTTTAACAAGTGGATAGTGAACACCTACTGTGTGAACTTGATTTGAATACATTGTAATTGTTACCACAGAGGGTGCTTATATAAGGCACAGAGGAAAGTACCTTAGCTTACCACAGAGGTTCCAAAAAGGATTCCTAAAGATGACTCCTAAATTAAGTGTGACATGATAAATGGGCAGGAAAAAATGGAAAGGTGGGGAGGAAGAGAGAAGCAAATTCTAGCTGAAAGAAAAAAAACACAGAGCAAAGGTCCAGAGGCGTGCAGTTTCACAGCCTGATATAGGAGCTGCCAGTGGTTAGGCAGTACCAGATCCAGCTGAGCATGGGAGAGGGCACTGGGCAGTTAGAAAGGATCTAGTGTTTAATGCTCAAACTGCATTCCTCAAGAAGGTTGTTGGTAGAACCACCATCCAGAAAAAATCATCTTAGGCCACATCAAGGCCTTAGAATTTCCCCTAAAAAGCATAGGCATGTGGGCCTTTTAAACCTAGTGAACAGCATTTTTAGCAAGCCAAGGCGAAATCATTCCTTCTGAGAAAAAGGTTCCCTCCAGAGCATTTTCCTGTGCAGCAAGAATAAGACCTTTCCTAGTGGCTATCTGCACACATTTGTAAAAGCTTCAGTGGAATTCAACCTCTTTTAGCCAAGTTAGACATTTTCAAATGCCTTCAAAAGTATTTCCTTTACTAGGCCAGAGATGGATTTTCTGTCAGTCATGCAAATCAGACATAAAATGAGTGCTTTTTAAATTAGCATTGGCAACCCTATGACCTCCCTTTCAGATGAATGAATGTTCAATGAAAACTCAGGACTCTGTGCTTCTGTTGTCCTTGCTAATTATGCCATAGGGGAAGGGGGGATAATTAACTTTATCCCTCAAATGAAATACCATTAAGAATGTTATTTAAAAGTGGGTACCTCTGCTTCAGAATCTGAGCTGAAAACAGAGCCCTAAGGCCACCATTACATACTCTGCATCCCAGAAGCTCCCAAGTCCATACAAGGTATTACTCAGAAATATGTCTCTGATTCCCCCTCCGATGGAAGAGCTATCAACAATCTTTTCTTTTCACTTAGTCACTAAAAATATTCTCTCTTTACACATTATCCTACCAGTATCCAGTGACTTTACATATGACATTTTTACTAATGAGAAATTGAATGACAAAATAAATAATCACCTCCTCTAAAAAATGGACTTTTTTATTAAAGAATTGATGCATAACATAACGAACAGGAGCTTACGTCTACTGTACAGGCTTATGCTTAGAGATGTATGTATTGACTTGAAGAGCTTTAAAACAAACGTTTGGTAATGAAATATGCCTGTTAAAGAGAACACAGAAAACTTCTTCCTGGTTTCTTGGGTTGAATTTCAGTAAGACCTATCGTGCAGAATCTTCTTTGCTTAACTCTCCAAGAAGAGAAAGAAAATGAGAAAAAAAGTCAAGACTTACTTTTAAAGCCATTGTGGTTTATGTGTATTTGAGGCTGTTCCAAGTCAATTTATTTATAGATCATTTGTCTTCCACAAGATGACATACAGTGCAGCCTGACTTTGGCAATCGCCAGCTGAGAAGCCAAGTTGGTGACAGCCACTACATCAAGGCATAGGAGGTAGCTGGTTGTATTTCTATTTTCCCCACCTAACAGTGAGATCTTATAGCTTTCTACCTTTGTCTCTCTTGGGAAAATGAGAATACACTTCCCTCCAGGCCTCAGTTCCTCAATTTGTAGAACAGATATAACACAAGTCCTGTCCTTTGACACTTCCCATAGCTTTTCTCCTCCAGACAGTTGTACTAATAAACGAGCAGAGGACAATCACAGTGCCATTCTTTTTTTTTTTTTTTTTAATATATCTTTATTGATTTCAGAAAGAGGAAGGGAGAGGAAGAGAGAGAGTTAGAAACATCAATAATGAGAGCCATTGATCAACGGCCTCCTGCACCCCCCTCCCAACTGGGGATTGAGTCCTCAACCAGGGCATGTGCCCTGATTGGGAGTCGAACCCTGATCTCCTGGATCCTAGGTCGATGCTCAACCGCTGAGCCACGTCAGGCCGGGTCACAGTGCCATTCTTGATTGCAAGGCCTGTGTGATTCTCAACAGGTGAAAGAATTAAGCCCTAAATGCCCTAAGGCATCTACAGTATTGCATCAGCTTCTCTCCTGTGCATCTAGAATTACAGTTATGTGCCACCTTTTAGAGAATTGAGAAAATAATACTCAAATCATTTTCTTGTTTTTGATTTGGATAAGGAGCCATGACTGAGGAAGTTAAGCTATCCTCTTCCAAGATTATGGGGCAAAACAGCTGGGACAGGAATTCAACCTGGTCATTAGAATATCTTTCCACAGCATCCTCAGTTCAATGAGGGATGAAGCATGCAAGAAAAAACTGAATCCTCCAGCCATCCTGAATGGGCTTATTATGCTCATATACACACAGGAAAAGTTGAAGGTCATTAATTTTGATATTAATACTCTGCCATTCATTCATTTGCTCATTCAAAAAAAAATTGAGATGTCAATTTAGGATGACCATTTATCTAGATTTGCCTAGGATTGAGCAATTTCCTGGGACAGAGCTAAAACCAGACAGTCGTAGGTAAACCAGGGTCACCCTAAAAGCAGCGACCATTCATTCAATTAGTATCAGCAGCCTATTATGTGATATAAATGTGCTATGATACTAATGAGCACAGGAGACCATGGAAACATGTAAAAGGGCAACCTAATGGGCAAGAGGAAACTTCCTAGAGAATGTGATCCATAAAAATTTGAGTAGAGGTGGAGAAGGAGGAAAAGGTATAGACACATAAAGGAAGAGAGACATCATTACCACCTCCATCGTCAACATCATCACCACAATTTTCAGCCACTGGTTAATGGGTGCTTACCATGGGCCAGGCACTAGGCTGATCCCTTTACATTGTCCACATTGTTGACCATTCCATTCCTCTTGAAACACTCTTCTTGCTTGGCTTCTGAAACGCCCCTCTGCTAGTACTTCTCCTACCTCTCTGGCAGTTTTTGCTTTTTGTCTTTTGCAGGCTCTTTAATTGGC